CAGTTTTTCTGTTCCAGGCAGTAAATACGTCAGAACGGCCGTATCAAACTATATTACTATATCATATAGCTGTGATAGGATAAACATTTTTGACATTTTTTATAAGTATTTTTCTATATGAAGATATCTTAGACAAGCAAGGCATTTATTACTTTCACTATGCTTTTTTAATGAGCACAATCTTGTCGACATCGGCCCACTATATCATTAAGCTGCCATAATGATCGCTCAAAAATTAAGTTTTCGGATAATCAACTTATTTGATAATCCGGACATGTTTTCCAAACTACTTTGACTATTCATATCATACAGCTGAAAAATAAGATCTTGCATAAAAAACACATTTTTGTCAAGATATCTTCGTCAAATTTTTCAGTAATCGCGATTTTCAACTTGTCTAAAAAACATTTATTTCATTGAATATATCTTCACCTTATTTGGCACGACAAGTGCCAGATCCCTAATTCATTGGTGTAAAGATTTTTAAAATGGGATACAGCTTACGATAGTTATGGCCAATATATTCAGCCAACTCTCAAAAATAGACAACAACAAAAATTGAGGAGTGTTATGGCTTTGTTTACGTTATAGGCTTATACCCACTTGACGCGAAATTTGATTAACGAAAAACTTCTTATTTCGCAGGTTCAAAGAGCTTTTGCTGCTATTAACTGCACAATAAGAAAATAGTTTTTTGTTCCTTCCCATAAACGTTATGGAAACACTCCGCTCAAACCCCTTAAAAAAATCTGTTCGTGATCAAAGCAAAGTGAAGACTTTTAATAATGTAGATACACGGTACGTACATAAAACTATATACTATAAGAAAGAGGCTCCGGACGGACGGGCAGGCAGACGGACGTGGCTAGATCGATTCGGCTGATCAAAAGTATATCCACTATATGGGGTCTGCGATGCTCCTTTTGCCTGTTACATATATTTGCACAAAAACATAATGCTTTTTTAACCCAGGGTATAAAAAGATATGTACCTGAAGTAGGGGAAAAAGCACAGACACTGGGTCAATCCATGTGTGGGTGGGATATGTTTAAAGGGACAATTTGTCTAAGATGTATGTCCCGATTCCTATTAATTTTATTGGATAACAATGTTTCTTATAGTTTCAGAATATAAACATTCATTATGCTTTTCGTTAATCGGGAACTCCCGACTAGAGCTTCTTACTTGTTTTCCCTTATACTTTTTTAATTGTTCCACACGAAATATTGTTCTTCATCGATGTTGTATATCGTCAGCACGAATATGACCGCCTGAATTGGCCCAGCTAAAAAATTAGCAGCTGTTTTTTTATGAGTCGTTTTAAATTCTGTGCCCTTTTTGCGTCAAGTGGTGTAGACTTTAAAGCCACAAGCCATCAACCCATCCGCAAGAAAACGAGAAAATAAGCATGTCTTCGGCAAGCCGAAAATGTAATACGCAGACATTTCCGTTTTGCAGACGTATGAGATCTACATACAGTTTCAAGACGGTAGCTTTAAAACTCAGACTAGCTTGTTATGAAAGAGACGGACGGACATGGATATGTCAACTCGACTGTCAATGCAGCGTATTTATGTGAATATGTGAACGAAAACTTATATCCAAATATTTACAAATATATGCAAGTACATGTAATTTTGGTACAGACATTTGTCCTTAAACTTTTTAACTTAATGGTAGTAGCACTATTGAATAGGATGCTGTAAAACGCTTAAAAAGAGTTGTCTCCGATCAAATAGATTGCAAATATTGTTTTTCAGCATCACCTGCAGAGCGATATTCCATAGTCATAGGTCTGTGTCATTCCAACTTCTCTCACGCTTTCAGGCATGAACGTTTCTATTTTGCAGCAGACAGCTCTTATGTCTGAGTCGGCTGAATCGGAATACTATAGCATTCTGGTGACATAGGAAGCATCGGTTGACAATTAAAATATGTTGTATAAATACACTCCTAAGACATATGTATGTCTTCAAACATATAAAATCTACGGCGGTCGCAAAAAAAATCAGTTCGTTCTTGTTACTTACTATTATTGTATTTACGGTCAGACATTTTCAATTCATTTATCACCAGCACTCCATTCCCAATTCGACCCCCTATCGACAATGTCAACACAAATGCCAACCGAAAAAATAAATGCGCAGCTTAATCTACTCATAAGAAAAGGAGGAAAAATCAAAAACAATCTGCACATACTTCAATTTCAATCTACTCCTTCCATTTATTTTGCGTCGCTCCCACTCATTCCCATTCCGCTTGAGCAGACGTCGACCCCATGCAACAAATCCACGGTAATAAAATTTAAATCACCCAAATAGCAGCAGGGACCAGTAAGTAAGTAACTGGCGTAACCAAAGCAAATAGCATAAACCGTAAAGCGTTTTTCTACCCATCGCCTTTTTCTACGTTTAAGTCGTTAGCGGCAAGGTTGGCCGGGCCGCCCCGATGACGCCCACAACGCAGCATTCCGACCGTCAAATGTTAAATAAACTGTCAGCCCACCCTGCACAAAGCACCAAACACCAACAGCCCCACCGCCACACATACTAATAGCGGCAGGGTCAGAAGTGCGCTTCTCAGCATCCCCCGTATTGTGGTCTCGACCAGCAAACACCCTTACAGTCCACAGTCGCACAGATACAAAGATACATATACAATTTACGTTATCCGGCTGTCGTTGTCAAATTGATATTCATTGAGCTCAAAGCGACATTAGACTGGCTCTTCAATTTACCAAAATTTGACTAAACAACAACGAAAATATGTTCATAACTGAAAGTTTTGATACATTTATTATTAATAAAATTTAGATTTTGTTTAATTTATTTTAAATGATTAATTTACATTTGTTGTTTGTTGACAAAAAAAAGTACGCTAATATATATATAACATATATATATGTATATATACATATAATTTTTTTTTATATGTATATATATGTACACATATACATATACATATACATTAACATATGCATATACATATACATATACATATACATATACATATACATATACATATACATATACATATACATATACATATACATATACATATACATATACATATACATATACATACATATACATATACATATACATATACATATACATATACATATACATACATATACATATACATATACATATACATATACATATACATATACATATACATATACATATACATATACATATACATATACATATACATATACATATACATATACATATACATATACATATACATATACATATACATATACATATACATATACATATACATATACATATACATATACATATACATATACATATACATATACATATACATATACATATACATATACATATACATATACATATACATATACATATACATATACATATACATATACATATACATATACATATACATATACATATACATATACATATACATATACATATACATATACATATACATATACATATACATATACATATACATATACATATACATATACATATACATATACATATACATATACATATACATATACATATACATATACATATACATATACATATACATATACATATACATATACATATACATATACATATACATATACATATACATATACATATACATATACATATACATATACATATACATATACATATACATATACATATACATATACATATGCATATACATATACATATACATATACATATACATATACATATACATATACATATACATATACATATACATATACATATACTACTGCTTAAACCTAGTCAAGCCCTATATGTTTTCTCAATCTGCTTCCTGTAAGCATTGCATACACATATTAAATGTATATCTTATATTAAATTAAGAAACAACAAAAACATCTAGTTGCAAAGTGTAATGCGCTTGCATCTTAAAAATAGTATGCATATGTATTAAGTAGCAAAAATAAAACATGCAAGTTGATTTAGTTAACAATATGGCGCTAAGTGTGCGCCGTTATCAAGAAATACGCTGAACGGCCGCGGGAGTACAACGCTCTATGTAGCTCTCTTGAGCTCCGTTTAACAATAGAGTCAGATGGTATGCAGTGGTTGCCTCTATAGTGTTGTTGTCTCCTAGCCTGCCTCGCTTGTGTCTGTACTTAGATTTTTGTCATGTAATTTATATTAAGTTCAATCGTTCTTTTCTGTTTTCAAGCAAATCATTTCTTTTGATTTACAATTTTGGTTTATCATCCTTAGTTTTTAGAAATAATCTTTCATTTTTTCATAATTGGACTAGAAATATTATTTTAATAATATAGGCTTATACTATTTTTTGAATTGCTCACATAATGTTCAACAAATAATAATAAAATTGTTTACCAGAAATTGAAATCCGTTTTATTATTAAATCAAAAAGTTTAGCTTTTCAAATATTTAATTTATCTTTTCTTTTTGAAGTGTCTTTGAATTATTTAGCCAAATATGCGTGTATAACTTAAATAAACGCTGCACATAGATCCACTTTTCTTATTATTGTTTTTTTATCTACGAGCTAAAAAAAAAAATGTTTACTTTTAGCTAAATTTAAAAAAAAAAAGTGTAGCATACCTTATAGTAATAGCAATGATTTTATGGTTGTATATTTGAGGATCTTGATATTTATGAAACTATGTTCGTATAGACATCTAGAAATATATTAAATACATATATACAATAGGATTCAAGCGTGATTTTAATATTTTATTTATTTTATTCATTTTGATAGTTTAATAAGCTTGCAATTGATTACTATTAAGTAATTGTTGTTTATTAAGAAAGCGAAAAATTGTATTTAGCATTTCTTAGTACTTTTATGTACACATATTTATTAAAACATGTAAAAAAAATTGCTTAGCTATAATCGAACTTCTAAAAACATAACGCATACGACGTTATGCATTAAAAAAAAAAAAAAATCCGAATTTCACGGAATAATTTGTTAAATGTTATTAATGTATCGTATGTGTGCAGCCACTCCTACTAACTATGATTCTGCCCAATGCTGCCCGCAAGGCAGCTTCATTTTAAACTGCGTCCAGGAACCCATTTCTGCTCAATTGGTAAACAAAAAGGGTCCCAGCGACCCTCAAACCATCGGTGGCTTAATGTCGACTAAAGCGCTATGATCCAGTCGATGATCCAGACCAGGACTAGGTGCTGATGCACCTACCAGATGATGATGATGATGTAGGTGCGCATGTGGATGTGATTGCTGCTGAGAGAACTGTTGTTGCTGCTGCTGTTGCTGATGTGCTGACTGATGCGAGTGCTGCTGGTGCTGTTGCTGCTGATGTTGATGCAGCATCACCGGCGAGCCGCCCGCGGCGACCATCTGGTGCGGCGTGGCCAGGTGCAGACCGCCGCCCAGCAGACTGCTGGACGTGCTGGAGGCGCTATGCGCATGCAGCGAGGTTGGGGTGCCGGGATGGCTGCCAGCTCTGTTGCCTGCACCGGAGCCAGCGCTGCCGGTGCCGGAGCTGGAGCTGGCGGAGCCACCCCCGCCGCCACCACCTGCGCCCGTCTGTTGGCCACTGGACGCGCCGCCCAACCCGTTCGACTCACCCGACTGATTGGCTGCCTCCTCAGAGTCGCTGCACGACTCCGAGGAGCCCTTTTTAATGCCATTGGGGACTGTGCCGTTATGCGTCTTTACGTGCTTTGCCAGATGGTCGCTGCGCATAAAACGCTTGTTGCACACTGGGCAAGCAAAGCGCTTCTCGCCAGTATGCGTCCTCAAATGCCGCTGCAGCTCGTCGGAGCGTGTGAAACGCTTGCCGCAGAACAGCCAGTTGCACACAAAGGGACGCTCGCCGGTGTGCCATCGCAAATGTGCCTTCAGATGAGACGTTTTGCCGTAAACTTTGCCGCAACCAGGTATATGGCAGGAGTGGATGTTCTTCTTACGTAGGTGCACGCCAGCTGGTCCTAAGCGCTCCGCCTCTTGACAGTTTGGGCAATCGCAAGTTGCACGTCCCGCATATCGTCGCTGTGAACGCGGTGAAGGTGTTGATGGGGTTGAAGCTTGTGGCGAAGCCGCAGTGGCTGCCGCTGAAGGTGAGCTGTGTGGTAGCGAAAAGCCACCTACGCCCTGGCCTGGCAGCATACTTTTATATGTATCCTGCAGTAAGTGCTGTCCGGATCCCAATAAATGTGCCGTATTCGAAAGTGAATGCGACAATGCAGAGCTGTAATCTGTACCCGCAGCCGCAGCGCTTGCATAGTTGGCCATTGTCGAGTGCATGCCAGCGGCTGCAGCGCTTCCCATATCCAGCCAGCTACCGGCGGCGGCAGCGCTGTGCATATCCCACCAACCCGAGTTGACACTAGCTGCCTCAGCGGCCTTGTGCGCGGATGCGGTCACTGCATTGAACGGCCAATCATACGGGTGGCGCGAGTAGACTGAACCAAAGGCGGCTCCCTCAACTTTGCCCAAAAGCCCCTGATGCATGTGATGATTGTCCGCCACCATGCTGCCTGACGATGTGGATGTGTTGGGAAAGTACAAATCACTGCCGTATGCGGAGGCCGAGGTGCCCACGGCCGCGCAAGACGAGGCGAGCGGACGACTGTAAGGATATATGCTGAAATTACTCACAAGTTGTATAAAGCGTGCTGTTGTCTGGGCAACGCACAGTGATCCACCAATTAAGAGAAAACTAGCTGAACAAGTACACGAATTCACATGTGAATATGTGTACACATTTTTTTCAACTAAAAATAATATTAAACTTCACGATGCGTTGCATTTTGAATTCCCCTTATTTACTCAGGATATGAAGTATTCGTTTGTCATTATTCCATTTCTACTTAAAAATAAATACAAATTTCAACACTTTTTTATTTTCATAAGTAGTTTAGGATTTTGAACAGACGGCTAATGACATTTACGTTTCAAAATATCTATTTTAAATAAATGTTTAGTCAAAATGTGTTTAGAAAATGAAATTTAAATAAATATCTAATTTAAATGATAAAGTTTTGGATTAAGAAAAGAATTTTTAAGTCGTGATTTAAATAAAATGTATAACACTCCGAATTTTCTCTTACTTTCAATGCAATCGTATAATTTGTTCAGCCAGATTCTTAGATATAGGACCACTGTGCGCCGTCGCGCTGCTTACCTAGCAGTAATGTTCACCATGGTGCTGCTGTTAGCACTGGACGAGAGGCTGCGTGATGTTTGACCTCCGCCACCTCCTCCTCCGCTTCCACTGCCAGTGGAGCTAGACGAGCTTGCTGCTGAGATTGCGCAAGGGGAGTGCTGTCCGACGCTGCTGCTACCGCTAAGGCTCGATGCGCCGCCACCGGGTGCGCCAGTGCTGCCTGCTGCAGGGGAATGTGGGCTCTTCTTCCAGGGATGGAACCCCTTGCCAACGGCCGCATCAGCTAGCGGCGGTGGTGATTTGTTCGACAGCTTATTGCACTGGGCGGCCAGCATGGCTAGCGGAGTACCTCTTAAGCTGGGATGATCCTAAAAGGAGCATGAAAAAAGGGAACTTTTCTCAATTAATAAGCGCGTCATTCGAGCGAATCTGAAAATTATTAAAATTTTAATTAATTATGCTCAATATACCGTTAGCAACAAATCAACGATTCAACGCCAACCCACAAGATTAATTCGCAACGTAAATCAAAAGATAATTCGTTTAACGTTAAATGTTCCAAAAATTTATGATCTGCGCGCTTTAATAGCATTTTTTGAAATGAGGTTCCCTAAAAATATCAGAACGTTTTTAAATGCATGATCCGAAACACATTTATTTGTTAATTTGTAAGTCGTCAGAAACTGTTCAGTTTTTTAAGTCGGGAATTTTTTAAGACTTTTTATAAAATAAATCAAATCGTTTTAGCCTAAAGTACCATACGCAATCTTTTCGCATATACCGCATCAAAAAATGTTCTTGTGAGCATCTCAACTTTGACTACGGTACTTCCGAGTTATTCCAATTTTGATATACCGACAACAAAGCAAGGACAACGCAACAATAGCATAACATTTATGACCTTTCACGGTCACTGCTTTGTTCTTTTGGCCAGAACTAATTCTTTATTTCGCTTTTGTCTAGCGGTTCAGCAACATTGTCTGACACTTGTGCACTATCTGTCTTACACTCTCAATTACTGTCTGCAACTCGCTCTATCTGTGTATGTAGCTAAAATTGCGGAGTGATTGACGACGGTCAAGGATTAACTTCGGCTCCGACTTTACCTGCCCCATCTGACGGCCGCTGCGGCTTATCCTTTCGATGATCCTCATCAAACACATTTTGCCTGGCAGCTCAGCATCTGTTTGATGGACCCAAAATTGTCAACGACTGTACTACTGCCCAATTTTGGGCTGGTAAAGATCACTTTTATCCACCCAGTAGTCAAGTGGCTACCTTCTTGTCTGATTAATAAAGTTTGTATTCTTTGTACAAAGGTTTACAGTTGGGTTATACCGTTGCTTTGCGGCCAATTTAACAGGTAAAATTAGCTATAGGAAAAGAAACAGCTAACTTTGGCAGCCAGCAATCAGGCGCAGATTGAGGCTGCGGAAGCTGCTATTAGTCTAATAATTGCTGGGGTCGGCTTACTACCCATAAAGACAGCTTTCGGGTTCATAGCCAAGTCCAAATCAATAGCCAAGTTGTTTCCGCATTACTGTTGGCTGAGATTTAGATTTGCGCTGATTGGGCGGATAGCATAGTTACTGGTAGCCGGGTCGAAACTTGTTGTGCTACGTTTGTCGCTGCTATGCTCTTGTAGTGCAATGTGTCAGAGAGGTGCCACTGCCCCGCTGGCTGTATAATGATATTGGGGCCAGTGCAGTCAGCAACCAGTCACAGTACATACACATGGAATGTAAAAAGGATGAGCTATACAGCAGGCAGAGCAACTATGGCCACCGAAATACTTTGGCCCCAGATTCGATGCCAAGACAGAGCCAAAGCCGAACCAGCACCAGAGCAACATAATTGGAGCAATTTCAACGTCGTGCAACTGCGCACATGACTCCATGTTAGTGTGTTTGAGTATGTGGCAAGAAAATTATACAAAATAATATCGGTGCAGGCAGTAAGCCAGTAAGTCAGTTAGTTAGTTAATCAGTTAGGCAGTCAATCAAGTCTTTGCCCATTTAAATGCTAGATTATTTGATTCATCGATTAGCACGCCAAAAAACAATGTTTTAGCCGAGTGTACCTAACTGGTAGATACCCTATACACAGCAATACCTTCTGCCTGTAACATACAAACATTCTTTAATAATATAATATCATAATATCTGTACATATAATAATAATAACAAATCATAACATGTATCGCAGGAACGAATGTATAGTACCCATTTTAAGCATCGCTCCTTTAATTTTCACCTTCCGATGTGTGTTTTTTAAGAAACAATTTCTAAATATTTTTTTTAGAATTAGTGCGCCATAGGGGCGTTATTGGCGCCAAGGTTTCGTTTTAAAGCCATTCAATATGACCAAATTAGCGCACCGAGACACTTCAATGCCCAATGGTTTGGTTATGGACAGGGATGGGGATGCTAATGTGAGTGTGGTTGTAGAGGAAAAGGTCTAAGCCGATCGGAGCCGTACTTAACTGGTCTAAATTGAAAGAGGACGGGCTTAACACAAAAAGTATAATAAACTGTTTTCAAACTATATATTGTTCGCTCCCACTCAGTTACTTATGGATCGCTACTTAGTTCCTCCGCCACCTCTCTGACTGCGTTGCCTGCTGCGACATCAAAGAGTAGCGCGTCTGCCCACAACGAATTTCGATTTTTTTTCATCTTTTTATTTTTACTACCGCTGCATTTTGATGCGCTGGCTGCTCTGCAGTTGGTCCAAGTGCTCTTTCTCCCTTGCTCTTTCTCTGCCACTCGCACTGGTGTAAATCATTAGCAGCGACACCTGCTGTGAAAATTATGACACCGCACAAAAGGTGCTGAACCTGCAGCGCCGTCGTTGATAGCGCCCGCTGTGATCAGGTTCCAGTTGCCAGATTTTCAGATCCGCCACATGCTGGGCTACCCAAATTTGTTTAGCTCGCGTCTTTTGTTGTTTGCCTTTGACGTTCCGTTCGGGAGCCCTAGCGGCAAAATGACATTTAACTATTCTAATTACCTAAATGCCAATATTTTATTTGATGCACCGATATGGGTTAACCGCAGTGACCGCACTTGCCCTCCACAGTAAGCTGCACCTTGCAATAAAAGAATGCCAGTAATTGTGCTCAGTTGCCTGATTCCAATCATAAATGATCTCTATCAACAACAATAACAGACTAAAAACATTAGATTTGAATCAATATTGTGTCGGGAAAATTTCAAAAGCCACGTTCCAAAATATTTGCGGCTTATAATCCAATTTATATATTATTCACAAAGTGAACAAAACCTGATTCTAGATGTATTAACACTGTAAACTGTGTATTTTTGTATCCCTTGCACAAAACTGCAAAACTCATTTCGGTTTAACTTAAACTAAAGACAAAACATTAAAGAGTTAAGAAAGTACTAATATAAATATATACATATCGGTAGTTAGACATATACAACCACCCAATATTCAATATCTATTTAATGTGTGGCATAGTTTCCTCCTTTCTGTGCATCGAGAACTTATATTTTTAGTTCTGCAATTAAAATATGCATTCCCTTAATTCCGTATAGGATAGTGTAGCAAACGCCACTCATATCTAATCGACGGAGGCCGTAAATTGTCTTAATAATATAACAAACAATTAAACTTCAATTTGTGGCGAAACGCAGGCTAAAAAATATAGTCAGAGAACCGACAAGCGTTTGGCTACTCAAATACGCGACTCACCAAACGGATGAGCCTTAACTGGTGTGCTCTGGGGAACGCGAACTATGGTCTGCAGACAGGGGTTGGCTGCCGAGGTTCATAGGCAATTAAAAAGTTCATTGGTTTTATTCATCACTATAGGCTGGATGGCTTACCTTGCCTCGGCATGGTTTAACTTCGCTTGGTTTGCCTGTTAACCAGAAGCACAAACATTGCTATCCTCTAGCCGCGGGGTATTTTGTGAAGGACGCGACAGGCTCTTTCCGAACCTTTGCCATTAGCATGTAAAGTGTAAACTAATGGCTTTAATTTTGTTTGACTGGACAGCAGCGTGGGAAAAGCTTGGTAACTGTTGAGATTGGCGCAGCAATGCAGATGGAGATCCAGAACATCGAAGTGGTTCACCGCTTAACTTCGATCTAAGAAGTTTATTAAAAAGAATCGCACAGAAGTTCGCAGGCCCACAGTGTACCCATAAGATGAACTTGAATCTGGCAAATATTAAGTAGCCTGAGTGGCAGGGCTTTTAGTTTTCGTTACCAACTTTGTCTGAGAGCCTCAGCGTGGTCCTAAGTTCCTTGGAACTGGTCCAGGCATGGACGCTCTTATAAGTAAGCCATACGCAAAAACTCATTAACAATGATGCAGCCACCGCAAACGGGCCTTAAAAATAAGAATAACAGCAACAACAACAACAACAACAACAACAGCAACAAAGCCAACAAAAATTAATGGAGTTTCATCATAATTTTTTTCATTTTTTTTTTGTTTTATCTCCCAGCCAAAAACGACCCATTTTGTTGTTGATGTTGCTTTTTTATTATTTATTATTTTTGCGAAATCTTAAAATACGAAGCCGTCTTGAGTTAGTCTGGGGCAAAGATAATTACGGCTATGGCTTGGGCTCAATACTCGCCATACATCTTTGTATATATATATATGTATATATATATATATAAATACATACATACATATATATATATATATGTATATATATATAGGCCTGGCCACCGTGTTAAGGCCATAACCCAATTTGATGAAGTGCATTAAAGTGTCTTTACTTTGCGGCAACAACCTAAGCCCGAGCTCGAACCCGATCCTTATCAAACCCAAAACCAACCAGTGCAATATATGCTTTTTATTTACAAGATGCTTTAATTTTATGTTTATCATACACCCAAGTTGCTCACTTTACTGTTCATTAGGCAGACCGCTTGCCTTCTTCAGTCGCAGTCACTCTGCCTATTTGGAGGAGCTTTATCAGCAAGCAGCATATCGTCAGTTTGTTGTAAGCCGATTTTGGTTGTAAAGCTTACTGTGCGGCGTTATTGGACCACGTATGTCCCCTAGGCTCACATATCATTGTCTAAAATGTCATGATTAACTGACCGCTCATTAGAACCACAAGAATTTTTGTTGTGGGTTATACCACCCCTTTGCTTTCTTTTCCCCCACACACAGCTTATACCAACCCCCAATGAGGTCAAATTTAATGTGTCTCATATTGCAATTAATTTGAACTGGAACTCTGGCTGTCACTAGTGTGAAGTGGGTGGCTGATTGCGGGCTAGGACATTGTTGGTGATTGAGTGCTGTCTGCAAGTAATTGGGGTTGATTTTACTTTTCAATTATGTATCAAGTATAATACTCTGCAGACACAAAGGCGTGAGTGGA